CCCCTTCCCCCAAGGGCGGGCCCGCAGGGTGGGGGGGGGGGATGCATTTCTTTCACGAGTCCATGTGTCGCTCTGCAGCGGTCCCCGAGCACCCCTTTCTCCGTGCCCCGTGCAACACCTCACCTTTCTCACAGCCGGTCATGCCCAGCTTGCTGCCATTGGGGCACTGGTTGCATTTCATGCCAGTGATACCAGTCTTGCAGGAGCACAGCCCAGTCATCTGCTCACAGTCATCACGCACTGAGCCCACCGGGTCGCAGTTACAGGCTGGGCAAGAAGGGGAAAAAAAAAGACACTGTTTTGCTGGTGGATTTGTGGAGCCAACAGTAGACTCATGGAGGTCCCACGCACAATCCAACAGAAGAGTGAGGAGAAGGGTCCAGGGGAGGACCATAACGCTGACTGCTACCCCGTACGTACCGACCCCACACCAGCGGCAGGAACCTGCCTCCACCCGCCACGGTCTGACCACGGTCCTATGGCTCGTGATCCCACCTCTGCCCCGCAGACCCGCGTTCCCATCAGCACTAAAGATTTACATCCACCCATCCCATCTCCTGCCTCTCCCCGGTGCAGGATAAAGGAGAGGGATGGTGGAAGAGAGAGCGGCCATTGGTGCCTGTTTAGTTTGAGGGGTCAGAGGATTTTACCTACTGACGTTCGTGATTCTGCTTTTAGAGCGAGACCCCACTCTTGATTTAAAGACTACAGGTGAGAGCGAATGAAGTACAGACTTGGGAAGACATTTCAGCAGTGTGACGCTTTTGCTGTTACAAAGCTGACATCCTATTTCCAATTTAAGCTTTCCGGCTCTGACCTGCACCTACTGAATCCCGACATGTCAGGGTTTAGACAAGCACTCCTCGGGGAGAGGAACCCAGGAGTTTGCCCGCCTGTCCTCTCTCCGAAGCACAAAGCATCCTTCCTACCCTTCACCTGCACAATGGTGTCTCCAGATGGAGCTTGCTACCTCTGAGCGGGACACTTGGACTCAGTCCCTCGGCCAGTGGCTGCAGCCAGGAGGGAGCCTGAGACGTACCGACCGCTCAGCAGACAGTTATCTGCGATTTCAGCGAGAGATGGGTAGAACCACATATTCTGTTGACTGCAATCCCCTCCCAACAACTCCTCTTCCCCCTGGCTGTTGTGGCCTCTGCCTAGTTGGCTCTCGATGGATTTCTTGGGGTGGGTCTCCACTGCAGCTTAAATAAATGGAGGCCTTTTTTTCCCTCTATGTTTACTGATGTTTTCACATTGTTATTCCTGGAGGGGAAAAATACCTCCTCATTCTTTCCACTTCCAACCCACTCCTTCGAACCTGCCTGCCCTGCTGCATGCAGGGACACCAGGGCTCCAGCAGCGCTGCAGAACATCTGGCCAGCGAGCAGGTCCATGGAAGGAGACACCATCCCCCAGCTGAGCTGAACCACGGGGCAGCAAAGGCACCTTCAGGCCAGCCTGTCTCTCTTGCACAGAGCAAGTCAGCGAGCTCTGCAAACACAGCCACTAGAGGCCACTGAGTGAATCCCAGACTGGTGGGGGCTGGAAGGGGCCCCCGGAGCCCCCCCCACCTCTCTGGGCAGCCTGTGCCACTGCTCTGCCGCCCTCACAGCAGAGAAGGCCCTCCTCAGGTTGAGATGGAACTGCCTATGGTCACGTTTGTACCCATTACCTCTTGTCCCATCACTGGGTACCACTGGAAACAGACTGTTCCCATCCCCCTGGCACCTCCCTTGAAGGATTTATCAGCATTGATAAGATCCCCCCTCAGTCTTCTTTTCTCCAGACTGAACAGCCCCAAGTCCCTCAGCCTTTCCTCATCAGAAAGATGCTCCAGTCCCTTCATCGTCTCTGTAGCCCTTTGCGGGACCCTCTCCAGCAGTTCCCTGTCCTTCTTGACCCGGGGAGCCCCGAACTGGACACAGTGCTCCAGATGGGGCCTCCCCAGGGCAGAGCAGAGGGGGAGGATGCCCTCCCTCCACCTGCTGGCCACACTCTGCTTGATGCCCCCCAGGATGCCATTGGCCTTCTTGGCCACCAGGGCACATTGCTGGCTGGGGGGCATCCTGTTGTCCTCCAGGACTCCCAGGTCCCTTTCCCCAGAGCTGCTCTCCAGGAGGTCAGCCCCCAACCTGTACTGGTGCATGGGGTGACTCCTCCCCAGATGCAGTACCCTACGCTTGCCCATGAGGAATGTCATTACAACAGGAGCAACGTTAGGGCTCGTTGGCTTAAAAAGCACAATACCCCACCGTGCCTGGAGCCCCACGGGGCAGCCCGGGGAGCCATGACAGAAGAGAGAGAGAGAGAGAGAGAGAGAGAGAGAGAGAGTTGCACGGGACGCGGGGTGACGGCACTCACGCGTGCAGCCGCTCTTGCTGTCGGTGACGATGCCGCGGAAATTCCAGAAGCCGGGCTCGCAGCGGTCGCACTTCAGCCCCCCCACGCCTGGCTTGCAGGAGCACTGCCCCGTCGCGGGGTCGCAGGCTCCCCCGCCCCGTAGGAGCCGTAGGGGTTGCACTGGCAGGGACCTGCGTGCCGGAGAGATGGAGAACGTGAGGCTGAGTCCTGGCCGAGGAGAAGGGGGGGGACACCGGGGGCTGCGTCGGCGTGGAGGGACCGACTGCTGAGCCACCGAGCTGCAGGAACGCGGTCTCACGCCGGGCAGGAGGAGGTTTCACACCAGCTGCTCTCAACGCTTCTCCTCTGCCCCAGCAACAAGGGGGAACTAAATCCTCGGGGATTAACCCACTTGCTTTGCTGTCATCAAGGACTCCTCTCTCATTAACATCAAAGGGGGAGGAAGCTATTAGAAGTTTATTATTAATTCATTAATTAGGAACCTGATGGAGGGAAATGATCCAAAGATAGACAGAGAGACGCTCTCTTTATCCGCAGGGAGTTGTAGAAAGGGGACATGGGGCAGAGCTGGAGAGAAAGGGAGACCTCAGGAGCAGCAAGTAGGGTACATGTGCACATCCCCAGAGTGCCAGAGGCAGGGAAATGGCATGTCCAGACCAGGCAGCGATGGATAAATCTGCCCTAGGGGCTTCAAGCCACTGGTAAAGTGGTAATTACCTCCTGATGTATGCTTACTGCCAACACAGGGACACAGGTGGGACAGAAACTGGTGGGATACGGGATCCCAGTCAGCTGGGAAACTGTGTCCATGGACTGGAGGGTGAGGGACAGCACTGCACAGAATCCCAGACTGGTGAGGGCTGGAAGGGCCCTCTGGAGCTCCCCCATCCCACCCCCACCAGAGCAGGGGCACCTCCAGCAGTGGCACAGGACGGCGTCCAGGCGGGTTTGGGATGGCTCCAGAGGGGGAGACTCCCCCACCTCTCTGGGCAGCCTGTGCCACTGCTCTGCCGCCCTCACAGCAGAGAAGGCCCTCCTCAGGTTGAGGTGGATCTTCCCATGCTCAAGTTTCTGCCCGTCACCTCTTGTTCTATCACTGGGCACCACTGAAAAAAGACCGGTCCCATCTACTTCCATCAGAGACACAGAGGAACACCGCTCCCAAGGCGATGCTGCAAGCAAAATGCTTATCTCCATCCCGGCGTCGCTCTGCCCGGCTTCTCCCTGTGCTGCTGGCCCCTCTTCCAGCACCCACCTCTGCCCGCAGCCCGCCCCGCGCACCCCCTGCCAGGAGACCTCTGGACATTCTCGGAATGCTGCTGCTTTTTAAATTATACGGCACATTAAACAGCACTACATCCTCATCAAGCAGGCATTAGCCGGGCGCAAGCACGGCGTGAATCGTGTCTCCACGGGGTAATGTGTTTCCCTAACAGGCGGTCACAGCCTCAGCTGTTAAAGAGTTTGCTAATGCCTTTCAAAATGTGCCTTCTGCTAAAGTGCTGACTCTGATAATTATTTAATAAATATTAATGAAACATTTGTCAGCTCAGTTTCCGGCACGGTGCAGTCACCGGTCCTGGGGTGGCCTGTGGAAGGTCCCATAGGTGAACCCGAAAGCTCTGTTCCACCTCAACCTGCAGTGCAAGGACACAAGCGATATTTTTGTCACCCGGGCTGTTGAAAAGCCCTAAGCCTCCAGCAACGGGCTGAAGGCCCAGAGGGCACGGTCTGGCCCTAGGGAAACCTTCTGGGGTGTCCAGCACGGACTCAGCACCACAGAAGTTCCAAGCCACCATCTTGTCTTCTTGCATTTCAGAGGGAATTAGACCTGGAAGTTGACTCAGGGCTTTTGAAAGGACAAAAGCATCACTAGTGGGTATAGAAGGTGAAACGGGTGCACATCTCCATGCGTGCATGCTGTGAGCCTGGAGCTGGGGATAAACGGAGGCTTTTTGACCCTGGGAGGTCACTAGTTAGCTAAGGAATGGGGAGGGTCCACCTTCCTTTATTTCCCCTGGTGTGAGACCCCAAGTCCTCCCTCCACCTGATCTCTCCCACCTTCCAGCTGTCCTTGAAGGTCCTCCATGCCCTCCCAGCTGGGTACATAATATTCACTCACTTGGGCATCCAGCTGCACCCACTCCGAGCGCCAAGGTCATGTTGTCTGGGCAGCATCCGTAGATGGTCTGGCTGCAGTGCACAACCAGGAGAGGTGGTGGGGTCGTGACAAGGGCTGCAGAGAAAGGCAGAGAGGTACAGGTTATTTTCGGCACGTAAGCTGCTGCGGGGCAGTATTGCCAATATATATATAATATCATTCCTGCAAAACCACATGGATCATTGCAGAGATGCTGGGAACCGGCGATGAGGTGAGGTCCTACTCTTGGCCGGGGAAAGCACAGAGCACGAAATGGGAATGACGCAGCAGGGATCAGCAAACCAACACAGACACCGCTGTGGGCACGTGTTACTGTAGGGCAGTAACTGGGGGAACCAGCGCACACAGCTTGTGTCAGCCTGGGGGGCTGGCTGCCTTCGGAGGACTCACCGCGGCAGGCTCCTTGGCTAGTGACATAGAGATCCTGGCGTTTTTCACACCGTGTCTTCTTCAGCTCACACTCGTTGGCGTAGGTCACACCATCAGAGCCGCACACCTGCCGGGACAGGGATGGAAGGCGCTCAGGGCAGTCCCTGGCACAGAGAGGCAGGTTCCCTACCCCTGGGATGCTCTCTCCTGCCCAGGAAACATGCGGGAAGGCCGCCAGGGAGAAGAGAGGAGGGGAGCGAGGACTGCAACAGGCAGCCCAGAACTGTTCGCCGCGCTCACCGGGTTACGTGGCACCGTCAGGCAGGTGAAGTCACACACACAGCGGTCATCCTCTGCATCCTCGTCCCACCAGCCTCCGTACTGCCGGCACCGGTCCTGTTCACACTCACTACCGTCGCCGGAGCCCGAGCCCCCTGAGCCGCACTCTGCAGCGAAGGAGGACCACGGTGAGGAAGGGGCTCCCACCCAGCAGGGCAGAGTTAGGGGAAAGCAGAGAAGATGGGGCCAAAGCCCTCCCCGGGCAGGGGAAGCAGCCCACAGCGGCACATGCCCATCCAAATCACAGCAGATTTAACCTCTTCAGCAGAGGCAACCCCAGAATCCAGGGCCCATATATTATTAGGATGCTTATGCTCGGACCTCAGAGAAGATCCCTCTTCCCTTGGAGAAAGCAGGTTCTCCCACTGCCGTCACGAGACTGTGCTAAGCCTACATAATGAAAACTGCAAAGGGATGCTTTAGCAGGTGGCCTGAGGTCTCCCTCTCTACAGCATCACCGCAGGAGCAAAAGCAAGGATCCTGTGGCTACCAGCACCCTGCAGGCTACCTGGAGATCAGACAGCTAATAGCCACGCACAGGAGGAAGGGCTGCCACTCGACTTAATGACAGCTTAACTCCATGCTTTGATCCGACTTATCCCCCTTCTCCTGCCCTCCCAAACACATAACGCACCAGGGAGACTGCTGCTGCTAATATAAACACGGGGAGCGGAGCAGAGCAGAGGAAGGGATGGGGTTTGCGTTTAGTTTGAAGTTCAGTTAAGGCAGATACTCTTAACAATATATAAACTCTGTCCCTAGCCCGGCTGCCTCTCCACAACACGCTCAGGGCTCCAGCAGCAAGAGAGAGACGTGGCTGATTTCAAAGGCTTCTTAAAGGGGAAAAGGGGGGCAGGGAGGAAAACCTGGCCCTTTTTATTGAGTGATCAAAGGCTGGGATTTGGCATTACACAGAGAATTATTTAAGATCTTTTCCCAGAGGGACATCAACCTGAAATTCCCCAAGGAGGGCTGTGATCAAACACCATGTTATGTCTTCCCCTCTCCCTAAGCGCTGCCATAGCACCGAAGTCCTTTCCAGCTAGACTACATGTGCAATGAGCCGGAGAATCTCAGCTCACCGGGTCAGTACATCAGAGCGGTGAGGTTTACGCGCCTCCTCTATTCGGATTCAGCCAGCATTAACCTACAGCTTTCCCCCCCGCTGCGGGAAAGCTCAGCAGGTTCTTAGTTCTCAGCCTGGCCAAGCAAGGTACAGCCAACCCCGCGACCTTCCCGGGCGCTCAGTACCGAGTCAATAGTGGCCCCAGGCCAGGCAGAGGGAAGCAAAGCAGCAGCCAGCTTCCCTGCCCCAGGAACCGCTCCGTTTCCCCCAGCCAAGACCCGCTGAAGCGTGAAATTAAAGCAGCGATAAACTCCTTGCCCAGCCGATTAGGTGGCGTCACCTCTCATTACCGACGGATACCGCAAGACAAAGGGGAAAGGGAGGTGGCAGGGATGCTGGGTGACAAGGGCCGGCTGGCCAGGAGGGAAGAAGAGGGTTGTTGGCATGGGACCCGGTGTGCTGGGGACACTGGGGGTGTCCAGGGCACTATGGCTGAGCTCCACGCAGCGGGGCTCACGTGGCGGACGGGGACAGCAGAGCAGCGAGGGAAAAACCCGCTGTGTTCAGCCTCAGTCCTTCCTCACCCTTCCCCCCCCCACTCCCCGGCCCGAGGAACGGCGGCAACCTACCGTCCTCGCATGGCCCCATCCTGGCAACCTCAATGCTCTTCTTCTGCTGGCAGGAGGCCACCTGCAGTTCGCACTGGTTGTCGTAGGTGAGGCCATCGCTCCCGCACACCTGAGCGAAGGGCTGTCTCTCGCAGCGCGGGCACACGCACTGCCCACCCACGCACTTGCTGCCGAAGGAGCACACCGTGCTGCCGCAGGACTCTGGGGGGGGCGAGAGGGAGGAACCACAGTGAGATGTCGTAGGGACCTTCGCAGCCAGCTGCCCGCTGTCACAGAGCTGGGGACCACGGATGCCGTGCCCTTAGAGGCCAGGAGAGAAGTCTTCCTTCCCCAGAGTGGTCTGTTATTGCTTATTTAAACCATGCAAAGACTCTGCAATGGACAGGTGACAGTCCTGAGCATTTCTGATTCCCGTCAGCACCCACAGGTGGTGTGTCCAACAGCTTTTTCTAGGACACCAGTAAGAAATCCCAGTTACTCTCACGGTGATATCAGCCTCCTCCTGCTCGCAGTGCCCACGGAGCACCGAGAGTCATCTGTCACGCTCGGTTGCTCTTCTTTCCCAAATTTAGAGAGGATCTCCACGCACAGCTCAGCCTTGGAACACAGACCCAGCTGGACAGGTTTTATGAGCCTCAAAGCATTGCTTTTACTGTAGTAGCATTTGTCCTAATGAAGAACCCAGGCAGGGCTTTTAATTCATTAATCCAGTAAGAAATTAGCACAGACAGTTCCCCGTGCTGGGGAGTGGGGAGGAAACACAGGAGCAAAGAATTTACCCCAGAGGACGGAGGGAAGGGAAAACTACTGAGATGAACTGTCTGATCAAATAAACCCCGGATACTTTCAGTTCTGGTGGTAGCTATTAACAGGTTTTTAGCCCAAATTCTTTGCTTGGCTCAATGGACATCAGCCCGATTTCTTCGCTTGGCCCAGGCAAATAACCAAGCGGGCAGATCCCACCTATGATGCATAGCTGGGGCTGAAAAGGAGAAGCTGCGTGAGACACTCAAGATACCCAATTCTTGTGAAGCCAAAAGGGAAGACTATGCCAGAGAAGGTGAAAAGGCTCAGACACGGTCTCCAAGTGACCAGCCAGGAACGGCAGCCCAGGGCCAGGCTGCTGGGTGTCCCCGGGCTGTCATTCTGGAGCTGATATCCTCCTGGGAAGTTCCCCAAAACAATCAATAAAAGCATCAGGAGGACCACTAGGGAGACCCTTCATGCATCCCAACCCTGGGGTTTCTCAGGTGCCTCCAAGGGCTGGCAAACCCGTGGGCTGCCAGTGCTAAAAATGAGCGGTGAGCCGTGGATGGCCACGGCCAGGGCAGCTCAGCGGGACCCGGGCAGCCGGTGGGGTTGAGCATCCGCTCTCCGAAATGCCACCAGCAGGAGCGAGCCGAGGGAAGAGAGGGACCTCGCCAGACTCACTGCAGTCTCCTTGGGCAGCCACCAAAATGTTCGTCTGCTGCGTGCACGCCCGGACGTGGAGCTCGCACTCGCTGCCGTACGTGTTGCCATCTGTGCCGCACACGGGCTGAGAGGAGGGAACGCACTCCGTGGGGCACACGCACCGTCCCGTCTCCGCCTCGCAGATGGCCCCAAACTGGCACTTGCCACAACGGTCTGCACAGGCATAAAAAAAAGAAAAGAAAAAAAAAAAAAAAAAAAAAAAAAACCAAAACA